AAACTCGCATCACAGTAGTTTCTATCAAACCTTAAAATGTATTAACAAATGAAATTTCGTGGATCTGTAATACTAGTCGTCACTACTGAAAGGATAGTAGTAACAAAACTCGCTTAAGTGACTGATGTGTTTTATTTTATTCTATTTTATAAAAAAAATTTTAAGTTTATATATAAGATGTATTTAAAATAAAAGAAGATTATATAAGTATTAATTTAGACTTGGGACTCTAGAGAAATATCACTCCAAAAGCTGTTTCGCCTATTGGAAATTATACAGATGTATGAGATGGGGAAGGCACTTTTTACATATATGTATACCAATTAAGCTGAGGTGGTAGAGACAAGACTTTGAAACGAGGAAAATGGTGGTCGTTGATCAGAGAGAAATGAGAGTGTAAAAGGGAATAAGAATAACCTCGTAGAAAACTAAAAATGTATTTTCAGATAGGAACGAAGGAGTGGAAGTGCAGAGGACGGAGATTAAAAATAGAATAAATAAATAAACTATTAAGATGTAACCATGAAACCGTCAATCTGACTTTTGCTTTGCACTTTACCCACCCACCATAACCGTATATTTTGTCTTTTTTTATGTGGAGAGGGAGAGGAGGTAGTGTTACCTACCGTAACCTAACCTTCAAACTTCTAATTCTACCATAAACATTAGTAAGGAAATAAATAAAGAATCAGAGCCAATGGGGTGAAAATTTTTATTATTGATACTACACCAACGTTTCGCCTCTAGATATAGAGACTTCTTCAAAGACAAGTTTTCAGGTCAGTTAAGTACTTAACAGAAGTTTGGTCTATATTATGCTGCAAGATTGGTGAACACCCACGGACACAGTAATTTACACAGCAAAAGTTATGTAAAAATTATAAGTCCAGTTAAAACGACGCACAATATAAATAAAATAATACGTAAAATAAATAGTTAAAATCATGGATAGAAACAACTACGAAGGTATAAATTAAGTGACTAGTTTAAATACATTGTCGATAAAGACGAACAAATCTACAATTAAACTTGTCAAACTTGTGGTTTATATAAGTTTGAAAACTGACCTGGAAACCTGCCTTTGAAGAAGCTTCCATACTTAAATAAATCAATAAATAAAACATTAACCCCATTGGCTCTGATTCTTTATTTATAACTTAACCTAGGGGAAGAAATTGGAAAAAGTAATAAAGAAAGAAGGTAAAGCATTTCTTTGGATTGATATTTCTCTGGTGCTGAAAATTGATTGGGACTCCAATTCTACATAATTACCCGAATTTATAATTTGAAAAATGCTATTGTGAATTTTCAAAGGGTTACGGAGGTGCTTATGATGTAATGGCTTCTAAACATCTCCGAGGTGATGTAAACTATGCATGGCCGACCGCTGAAATTGCAGTAATGGGAGCTAAAGGAGCTGTTTCGATCTTATACAAAGGCAAATCTAACCAACAAAAATACGAAGAAGAATATATCGAAAAATTTGGGAATCCTTTCCCAGCTGCAATACGTGGTAAGGAGAGTTTAATATTAAAATTTAAGAAATTTAAGTAATTCAATGAACAACGTCTACTATGAGTACATTAACATCAATACCTTAGAAAGTATCAACAAGAGAATGTATAGTAACACTATTAGGAGATTGAGTGGAATGCATGCAGTAAATAAATAAATATTAGCATCTGAATTCAATGTGCTGTTGCTCTTACTTTTTAGTGTGATTCGTTGATAACGTCATAAACGCAATTTCTCTTCGTTGATAAGTTTATAGGTAGTTCTTAGGCATTTACGGCCGATGTAGATATGTTGTGAGTTTTGTGCGTTTTTTCAGCTTGATTTGACATGGTCCTTGAGATACTGCTTTTCCGAATGATTTACCGTGCCTTAGAAAAAGTTGATTTTTCCTTTTAGTTTGTACTAGCTGTGCTAGCGGTTTCGTCCAATTGGAATTCAGTTAGTAACTATAAGAGCCATATGTTATCTGTCAGTGAATTAACCTTAACATGTAGATATATTTGTCAGGGATTTTTTTACATGCCCTTTTATGCTTTACCACTTGAGGTAGCGTTTGTAAGAAAAACATTTGCGCCACCATTTTTTAGTCGACGTATGTTGCAAAATTGATCTCCACGAAAACACTTATTCCAACATCCACCCTTAAGGTCCATTCTAAATACTGGCGACAGAAATTTTAAAATCGGATTACCTTCCACAACCAAACTTACAATTTTACTTCGTTATAGGTACGTAATATTAGTATAAATGGTGTTTCTGAAGTAAGCAGCAGGCTTGCAGGTTTATTTATACATTGCACGTGAACATTACATTGACAGGATAATAATAAGAAGTTATTGAAAAGGTAATTAAAAATTAAAGCTAGAACAAGCAGTGGTTGAATTGAATTTATTGGTAACATGGTTTTGTTAGGTTAGATTTCGATATCCAAACTCTGCAGTCATTGGGTAGCGTCATATTTTCTAGATGGGTCACATGACCTATAAATAATCTCAGTGGGAATTCAATATTCTTCCAATTTTAATCTCCAATGAACCGAAAATAACCAAACTAAAGGACGCTAATGGCTTATAATGATGAATTTCTTTCCGTAAAGATACGGTCAGATATGTTTTTCCGACCAAACTATGGCTAAAAATTTATGCTCAATTGTTGAGTACCGAACCTCTGCTGAATTTAATGTTCTACTCGCATAAGCTATTGGGAGGCTATTATTAATGGGACCTTGGCTAAGTACATCTCCTATCGCATAGAAACTCGCATCAGTTGAGACATAAAATTCTTGGTTACAGTTTGGGTATTGTAGAATACTTGCTGTTATTAATCTTTCTTTTAATGAGTTGAATGAATATAAATGTTCCTGTTAAAAGCAAAAAGAGTGTCTTTCTTCAAGAATGCGGTCAATGATTTAACTTTGCGTAATTTAGGATGAATTTTCTATAGAATCCGGTTAGACCTTAAAGTGATTTAACTTCGTTTGAAAACTTAGGGATCGGGAAACTTTTAACTGAATCAATTTTGTTGGGATTTATTTTGTCGCCTTTTTTGTTACGATATGACCTAAACATTCGGTTTCTTTGCGGAGGAATTCCGACTTACCTGGTTGAATTTTTAAATTGTGCTATCGTAATCTTTTTAATACATTTCTTAATTTATTAGAATGGTCTTCCAAAGAGTTTTCGAAAACAATAATGTCATCTAGATATAATAGACATTGCGTGGGTGTTAAATCTAATAATACATTATTCATCATTCTCATAAAAATTGAAGGAAAGAGGAAGAAGAAGGAAGAAGAAGAAATTTGTAATGGCCCGTGTGGGTCTAAAAAGCAGATTTAGTGATCGAATTTGGATGCACTTCAATTTGATGAAATCCGCGTGCACGGGGCTTTTTTCAGAGTTGTTCAGTTTACAGAGAAATTTAATTTAGAATCTACTAGAATTTACTGCTGTGGTAAAAATATTTTTATTTCCCTAAATTTTTACAAGACAATCTGGAAATAACAGTATATTCTCTACATTCATTTCTGGAAGAATTCTTTCTTTTCTTGGTTTGAAATTAGTTTTTAATAGTATTCACACTTTCACCCAAGAAAGTCAGTGTTTTCACTGCTCAGTTTTTAGCACGCCTTTTGGACAATCCTACCGATTGCGTTAAATTGTTAAATGCAAAATGATAAAATTATCTTTTTAAAAAATTGAACATTTATTCTTTTCGATGCGTAACAGTCTAGTCTGAAGCTAGAGTACCTTAACAACGACGCTTTACAACATTTATAAGTTAGCAAAATGCTACATATACGTTTACATACGTTATATGACTTATCCTAACATGTAACATGGTCTTCCTTTGCGTAATTTGAGCCATGTATTTTTTACTACTATGTTGCGGTTTAGGCAAAATTTGAAGAGTGTGTCGCCCCGCTCGTTACTTTCACCGAAACCATTTTCTCCAACTAAGTCTTCTCTGCTACGCTTACCTAGTGATGTCAATATTGCAACTACCCGGTACAAATTACAAAGTACACTACTATTAAGAAATGACTGTGACGTGCGTATACGTATTGGATTGGTATCTAAACGCAAGAAGTAATAAGTAATCGAGGTTGGTAGGCAGTTTGTGCCCCGTACAGAGGTGGTCCGTTGAAGTTGTAAATCCGCTGGATCCACTAACGAGATCGGTAATTTTGTACCGGTACTTTTTTAAAAACTACCGGGGACCCTAAATACTGAAAAGTTACGACTCTACCCACCTTGCGTTACAGTCATTCATGATATAATTTTGTTGTTTTTAAGAGTTTTCAATATTCTGTCTATTTGACTATAGAGGAATTGAACTTCGTCGTCATATTTTTTCACCTCTGTCGGTGCATATACTTGGAGTATATTAATGTTAAATGGACTTGCTCACAATTGCATCAGTAGTAGAATTTTGTCATTTGCACGAACAAAGATAAATACATACTTCAGCAGTTTTGATACCATGAAGATACCCAGTCCATTTCTGTGATTTGGTTCACCATCATCCATTCCAAAGCTGTAATCCCATGTGGTTTGTTTCTTAAACAAGATTCTCAAATTTTGCAGCTGCATATAGGATTCGCACATTCGATGTTCTGATTCTTGATTTGGATTTTACCATTTTCAGCCGGAAGATTCATCACACCCCTTGCCCATCCAAGGGCAATCGAAACTGGAGGTCGTCGCGTTTAGTTTTTTCGCTATAACAATTTCCTAAGAAAAGTTGAGCAATATGGTTTCCCGTATACTTCATTATTTTTTTTCAGCCGCCTCTGACATGCAGTATCGGCGCTATGTGCAACCAGCCGTTCTGGTTCAGACGTTGCTGTGTGCTGGTTTCGATCAATCCTGGATATTTTATCTTTTTAGTACCTACCATCAATTTCTAGGGGGCGTTCCCCTATCTGTCACCTGGGGAGACTCCATAGGGGGACCAGCAACCTTTCATAGGTTTTATCGATTAGTTCGTTTAATATGGAAATAATCGATTATTCCGATTAATAATAATAATTGGTGCGCTCAAATAAATAGATTATCTTACGGATTCAGATATTGCACCCTTTCCCAATTTTATTTATTATTTTTAAGCTCTCTGACCAGGTTGCATATCGGGAAGCTACGTATTTATTATCTGCCTAGGCTCTCGAAGCCTCTTCAGATTTTCAGATAAATAGGGTTATTGAACACGTAATTCCCTAGTTTCAGGTTCCTTTAACGTTTTTGTCGAAGCATGTGTTAATAAAGATCAACATTTATCCTACAAGGTTTTTAGAACTTTATTTAGACATTCACGTTTTATTTGTTATACTTCCTCATATGTTGTTATTGAAGCATGCGTAAGTTAGCTCAATCTTAACTAACTGATAATAAACTTTCTCATGCGGTATTGCACATATTGACGTTTCCATATTCCTTCCTTCTACTAGTACATTCCGGTCATTTTTATTCCCTCGATAAGTTTCCAGTTTGCTGGATTGGTTAAAAACTGTTTGGGACCGTTATATTATCCGTAAACTTACAACATTAAGTATTGTCGCAATGAACCGAATTTTTATGTCATAAGGAAGGCGAATTAAATATTTATTTATTTGACGCCTCCATCATGTTATAGAGAAGCGAATTTATATGTTTATTTAATTGGAGATATAACTTAAAGCCATTTTATAATTTAGAATAACTTGTCAACATTTTAACTATAATTAATTATAAATAATAATCTAAGCCTACCTTACTAGATAATTGGAGAACGTAGAAATGGCAGAAACTATCACAGGGTAATATTGAACATTGATTATATAATTTTAAATGACTTGTCAACATTTTAACTATAGTTAATTATAAATAATAATCTAAGCCTACCTTACTAGATA